CATCTTCCAGTTGCCAAGGTTGAAAAACACTGGAGTACAGTAACTGAGATTTTAAATTGTAATAGGTTATCTGGGGTTATCAGCTTTTTGGGTGCATAAATGATTCTGTGAATTAGAGATAAGTATATTGAATGGCAGCATTTCCCAGTTAGAAGGATTATACAACATAAGTTCATATTATACTGAAGTTTAGATGCAATCCTATTCATTCTCCTGATTGAGCTTTTTTGCCCAAACAAGTGAACTAATTCCTAACACCAGCAGTGGAATCTTGTGGGCTTCCTTTGTATTTTTTTCAGCCAATCCTAAAGCAATGGTTTTGAGATTGAAGACATTTCAGCATGGATTCTTCCCATCTTGTACCTTTATGGCTTCCACTTTTTTTTCACCCTGGTCAAGATTTTCAATGGTTTCCATCAGATCTTTGCAAGTATCCAGGTTTTCTCCACAGCTGACCAGCTGTTTATACAAAGCTTCCAGTTTCTCTTTCTTTTCCTCCCCCAAAGCCTGCATGTTTTCTTCATATCGTTGCTCAAGGATCTGTATTATGTCATTGTAATGCTTCTCAAAGTTCTGCTCCTGCCTGGTAAAATTCTCCTGGAAAGAAATATTTGCAGTTCAGTTGAGCATGCTCAGAGAGTTGACAACCAAATCTGGAGATAGCTCTAAGAAAAGAAAAGATTTTATGTACTTTTATTTATGCAGCATCAGTTTAACCCTCATGGATTCCTGCAAAGAATCCTTGGAACTACAAAGTTCTAGAAATTAGAAAATGCTGGACTGCCATAGAAAAATTAGGAAATATTTTAAGGGATGTCTTAAGGTAGGAATGACCAAACAATCCTCCAGATATGCCATGAAAGTTGGAACTAGAGCAATTACACTCAGATATATCTGGCTAGGTTAGAGAAGGCTCTAATCTGTACCCATTAACCAAAATAGATTGAAAATATCTCATTGGCCAAGATAGTTTTCCATATCACTTGGTTTTATCTGGTTTCGTATTATATGCAAACATCTGCCATAGGGCACCCTGGACATTCAGTCTACAACCAAATAGAGGATGAAAAAGAAAAGGTTAATGGATCCTAGTCTGGAAATCATAAGCTAAACAACATGTAGTTTGCTAGACAAGCCACAAGTGAGATGCTGTCATGGCAAGTAAGTAGCCAGTTACATCTTAATAAAACATTTGATAAGAATATCAAAAAAGGGTGCAGATTCCTCCTTCCAGGTAGGGTTGAAGGTGACTGTGTAAAGAATAATTAATAGGACAGGACAACAACTTTGGATTCCTTCAGCTAACAATACTTGTGATGTTTTGACCTCTGGTGGCAGAACAACAGATTTTGAACAGTTGGAGTGTCTTAAGTCTCTGACTTACTAAAAAACAATCCACGACGCCTTCTTCCTTATCCGTGTATGACATGACAAGATGCTGATGGACCTCTATAATGGACCTTCCTTTCCACTTCATGTAGGATCATCAACTTAGCTCCTGAGAGCATCTTACCTCTACTGTAATAAAAATTTCCTCCAAGTGGCTAGAAAAGTTTTCCAGGTATGCTATCTGGTCTTCCAATCGGCCAATGTTTTTTCGAAGCTCATCCTTTCAAAACAAAAAGTGGTTAAGTATCCTGCAATATTGCCTAGCAAAATGTTTCCCGCTTCCTATCTGGATGGGCTTACACTGTCCTCACCTTTGCGATTTCCACCACAGCAGCAAGAGACATGACTTCGTGCTCTTGGTGTTCATCATACTTGCTATTGGAGGGTCTCACTGGAACACAGCAAGTAATACAGTACAGTTCTTTCTCTTGGTAGGACTGTCTGCTTGCTTTCTCATCCCCAAGAATGTTATTGCCACCCTTCTCATGATCTTCTCTTGCATTCTCTGTGAGTTGCTGATCCTGATACGCCACATGAGGTGTGGTTTGCTTCTCTGTATCTTGTGTTGCCTTGTTGTCACACATGGATAGGTCTCGCCTTTGAAATGGTTCCTCTGGAACAAATTCTAAATCTTCAAGAGAGTCATAAAGCTCCAAATGATAAAACCTGGGGCTGTGTGGTTCATTCTTTTTGAACTGGGAGTCCATTCCGGAGAAGGAATATTAGATACCAAGTCAATAGGCAAAGGAAAGGTCTTGTGTGTTGCATCCCATCTTCCTGTAATGAGCACCTGTAAGAACAACAGAGGTATGATATGCAACAGAATTTATATTTAACATCTCAAAAAGTTAAGAAGGATCAACTTGATTAGCATCAGGAGACCATGAGGAAATCCAGTGGGACTGCAAATACTGGGAACTGGAGAAAACATTTGGGAAGAAGATAACATCAATCCACTTCCATTCTTTTGCCAAGAAAAATATATAGATGTATCCTGAAGTCATCAGGATGCACAATGGAAGAACTAGATGCCTAGGATACAGATAATGAGAAACAAAACAATGTAGACACCAATTAATTTTCGGATAGCCAGGGGTTGCTGTGGTTAGGACAATGATGTCAGATAGGTGAGGTTATATCATATATGCAGGTGGACCTGATATTTTTAGCCTTTTTCCTGTTCTTTGGAGGTGGATTCCCTTTCCTTTTAAAATACATTATTGTGGGCTTCCAGGACAGGTAGTCCCTGGGTTAAGAACACCCGGTTTACGGATGACCCATAGTTAAGAACGAAGCCTATTGTAGCAAAATTCGAGTTAAATACACAATGGTTCAAGTTAAATACACAATGGTTCTCATTCATTACACAATACTACTTATACAGTATTATATAATAATACTGTTCCAGCTTACGTACAAATTCAACTTAAGGACAGACCTTGGGAACGGAACTCATCCTTAAACTGGGGACTACCTGTATAGTTTTTCTCTCTCAGAATGATAGGAAGTCATGATACCAGTTTTAAGCCACTGTGGTCTATAGGGGACTTGGAGCTTTGTTTACTGCTAAGAATCCAACAATACAGATCTCTAAAACTGATTCTAGATAGAGAGCAAAAGGTTTTCCTTGCCATTTTCTCCTTCTATTCCAGTCTTCCATTAAAAGCTGCTCCTATCTGAGAGTTGAAGGAACACTAAACCACAAATAGTATAAAGCCAAACATTTGTTTCAGTTCAATTTATAAAACACGAACAGTTTTCAAAATACCTCCTACAGGCATGTGGGAAAATATGAAATTATTTCAACATGAGTTGATCAAGCATGAGATCTTAAATAAAGATTGTGTGGCGGGGATAACTACATGCAAACACAGAGGTAGCACTTTCAAGTCGCTGAGCTTGAAAAATGTGCATTTTTTATTTTATTTTATTTTTTAAGTGAAGAATTATGTTCTTAAAAAGAATACTTGCCTTTTGTGTTAAGGATCCATAATGTCTTCTTATGGTCGAATGATAGTGAAGCACTTCTGTGCCTCCCTGTCAAAGCTTGATTTTCAAGACCCTTGCCATCTTTCTGCAACAGAAAACTTACCGCTGTAACATTAGACGAGGCTTCTTTCCATGAGTAGCACGCCAGCTATGAGCGAGGGAGCAAAATAGATCAGCACCTGCTGTCCTGCCACTAAATCTTCCTTAAATGTCATGGAAGAAAATGTCAGATCCAAATCCTACTAAAAACATTGAGGCCTGAAAGCTTGGAATCCCAGAGAGACCCATTTAAAAACGTCTTCTTTAAACCTCAGGAAGAAACAGCTAATAGTAGCATCAATTGCCCACTGTGTGGATGAAGAGAATTAGGCACTAATACACTTCATATTTTGGGGAAATGTGAAATGATCAGAGTCAGACTGGTAGCTTTATGGAATGCCATGTATGCATTAGCAAAAAGCCTACGGTGGTTGAGTTGCTAAAGAACGTAAAGAGAAAGAAGATATAGAAATAATCAATCTCCTAGCAGGAGCAAATAGGCTTATGAATAATTTTGGTCCCCCAGAGAGTGTTATTCCTCCAGTAAAGGACAGGCTTTTTAGAATCTGGAACAGAGCCATCATATCCGAAAACTGTAAAACCAAAAGCAAACCACGAGTACAAAATACATTAATACTCAGTGGCACGTGCGATTTATGTTAGAACAATAAATAATATTTGTCACGATCCTTTATTTTCTTCAGTGGAATGCTGCGAACAAAACCATGGAAAAGAATCTGGTCTAAAGTTCCAGCCTTGAATTTCCTTTTGGTCCTCTTTTCAGTTTTCTTCCTTGCATTCCCCCCTCCCCTCCCCACCCCAATTCTTGAGGCAGTGTAATTCCTTTTGTTTTGGAAATTTTTGTGAATTCTGCTCATCAAAATGTCCAATGCAGGCTTCCCTGGAAAATGATGACTGATTATATCTATTCTGGTAAAATCTGGGGGCAACTAGCAAAGATCACATGTGAAGTGTGAGCACCTTAAAACTGCAATGTGGTTCATTTCTGATCTATTCAGCATTGTCCTAGCAGTTATGGGTGAGTGTCATATCATGCAAATCCCTTTCATGCAAATCCAACCCAAGACCCAGTGAAACCAGAGCGCTGAGCATTTAATAGCAATTGATGGCAGAGAAGGAAAACTCTGTTTTCAAGCTCCTAACATCCTCTGGGGTTGTTACTGAGGTCCTAGAAGTCCTGTTCTTCCTAAAACGGGGGCAAAAGGGGAGGGGGGAGGGGGAGATTGCGCCAGGCTTTTTTGGCAGTCATCCCTGAGGGCAGATCTCCAAGGCTAGCCCTGAACCCTCGTGATTTGTGGGCCGAAGTCGGAATCGCGCGTCCCCGCGAGCTCAGAGGCTGCCCGCTTCCCTCCACCCCTTCGAGGCTTGGCAACCAATTAAGAGTCAAGGAAGCCGCGCACGGCGTCGGGGAAGGAAGCCAACAACCGGGCTCCCTTCCTGACACTTTCTCTTTCGATCAAAGGAGGCAAAGTTTTCTGAGCGTTCTAGAACGTCGCGGCCAGGAGACGCTTTTGAAGTTCCCGGGGCGCGCCAGGAAAAGCGCCTTCCTTTCCTCCGCCGCTTACAGCGCAGCCCGGGCCCGCCATGGAGCTGGAGGAACTGCAGCCGGACAGCCTGGAGGGCTGGGTGGCCATCAAGGAAAACCTCTTCGGCCAGCCCGAGCCGCCCCACAAGCTGCGCTTCCTTGTGGCTTGGAACGCCGTGGAGAGCAAGTTCGCGGTGACTTGTCACAACCGGACTTTGCAAGAACAAGCCGGCGGGGAGAAGGCGGCGGAGGCTGGCGACGAACAGCGCCTGAGCTGGGCCGGCTTGTATTCCCCGCAGGCCTTGCTGGGCGTCCATCGGCAGCTGGCGGCTTTGAACCCGCCGCTGGAGCCCTGCTTCCCCGCGCTGCCCCCCGCGCTGCCCGGCCCCAGCGGCTTCTGGGCGCTGCTGTTCCCCAGCTGCCCGGTCTTGGAGGAAGCGGAGCTGGAGACGCTGTGCCGGCGCCTGGAAGCGTACCTCGGTTGGGCCTTGGAAGGGTGCGGACGCAAGACGCTCCTGGACTTGCTCTTCGCCCACGACCAGGACGAGGAGGACGAGTATTTTGAAAATTTGCAGGAGTTCCGCAGGAAAAGTCTCAAGGGGCAGCTGACCGCGACCAAGGAGGCCTTGAGAGGGGTACGGTGTGGAAGGGGGAGGGGAGGGGAGGGAGGGTTAATCCTGACGACGTGTCAAAAGGCACACGCAGAAGGGGCATAAGGAGGAAGGTTACAGTCAGCGGCCCTTGGGTGCTTTGTTTCCCTGCCCAGATGGGCTAAGCCACCCACTAAACCAGTTTTTCTCAACCTCAGCAACTTTAATATGTGTGGACTTCATTCTGGGAGGGGGAATTCTGGGAGTTGAAGTCCATACATATTAAAGTTGCTGAGGTTGAGAAACACCGCACTAAAAGCTGAAACTAATCAAGCTGAGACTGTTGTGTGGGTCCAGCTGCATGGAAAGGTCCTTTCCTGACCGGTGAACTACAACTCCCAGCATCCTTAGTAATATCGGGTAATGGGGAGAGATGCCGGCAGTTGTAGTTCAGCAACCTCTGGAGTGCTACAGGTTGCCCTTCCTTTGCTCTAAGCTGGTGTTTCTCAACCTTAGGAACTTTAAGATGTATGGACTTCAACTCCCAGAATTCCTCAGCCAGTAGGAGTTGAAGTCCACGCCTCTTAAAAGTTCCTGAGGTGGAGAGACGTGGCTGTAAGCCACAAACCATGTTTACGAAGCAGACGCTAAGCCAACCCAAGGAAATCACAGCACTGTGAACCCTGTCAAAGACTCCTTGTTTGGCAGTCCTCCAGATGCCTTTTGACTTGAATTCTCATTAATCCTCAGTCAATATTCCCATGCATTTGGGGGTGGGGGGGGACCTAGTATTTGGGATGACAGGAGTGGCTGCAGCCATTAGCAGATTGCCTGACCTTGACTCAATCTGATAGAAGATTTATTTGGGGGTGGTGCTGTTTTGAATGTCTCCTTGAACAGTAAGATTTCATCGGAGGTTGTTTCCGGGGCTAAAGATCCCAAAACAAAGAGGCCATGTTCCTGGTTCAGATCAAATACCCGGCGAAAAAGCTGTACTGCAACTGACATGCAACTGTGTCCCAAACATGAACGATCCTTTCCCTTGTGGCTGGAACCTGGAGATTGCAAACCACAATTTTCAGTGTGCCTTCTTCAATGGATTTAAATTCAATTAAAGTTAAATTTGTCCTGGATTCCCAACCCCTCTTCTACAAAAGTTCCCATTGTTTATCTTATTTGTCCCTGGTTAGGTCTATATCCTGGCTTCTTCCAGGAGTCCAAGGCAGCTTTTGAGGTTGTCCATTTTATCCTCACAACAGCCTCTGGTAGCACAGGCTGGAAAATGGTACAGGCATCATCATCATCATTATTATTATTATTATTATTATTATTATTATTACTACTACTACTACTACTACTACTATTATGGTTGGTCGCACAATCAGCTAGATGTTTAGACTGGAT